CTGCTGAACAGAGCAGTTATGGGGGAGCTCAGCCTGTGTGAGAATGTGCCGGTGCAACAAGCCAGTTGTGTTGTCCTGCACGATGAGGAAGGAATACAATGAAGCAAGCTGCCAAACAGCCGCAAACAGGTTGATGAACTATCGAACTGATCATTGAAAAATCACATCTGTCTGCAACCAGCGAACAGGACATGAACCAAACTAGTGTATGTTTGAGCAACCCTAGTATGGGCTGGATGCGAATTATATTTTTCTCTAACCTAAGGCACTTCTGCCAGCACAGTAACACTTGTCAATTCTCCCCTCTTACTGCAGACACCTGCTTCACCTCTCCATGCTGCTCTCAGGGGCCCACTTCCCCCCACTGGGGGGCAGGACTTGTGGGTGCATGGGAGGCTGCAGCGGGGGAGGTAAGAAAGTTTCCTCTCACAAATGCCACTGCACTCACATAGCATTGGATCCAAGCCTTAGTTCCTGCATCTTAGGTCACTGAGAGAGTAATCCTAAGCGTGTGTACTAAGAATCTTACTCAGGTCTGTTCAGTGAGGCAACAGAAAGTGTTAATGTCTTTTAGTAAGCATGGATTACCAACCCTGATGTACTTCATTAGCTGTGACCCAGTTAGCTTAAAAAGTCGTCTGAAAGCTCGACTCCCACCACTGGCTTGGTGCAGGCACAGAATGAATAGAATCAGAGCGTAGGGTATCACAGAAGCCGGTTTTTTCAGTAAAACTGTGAGCATAGAACTGATATTCTCGACTGAGAAACTGTATTCTGATCTTGTATGAAACGCCGAACGGTTGCTGCCTGCTTTCCAGCCAGAGCATCTGGAAACGGATCGTTTTTCTTCTTCACAGTGGGCTGAGGCTTAAATAAGTGCCGTTCTCACTTATCCCGGTTAGAGGGCAGTAGATGCTCTGAAATCCCCCTGAAGTTAAGGAAACTCTCCCTTGTGTCTGTGGTCCACAGTTCAAAGCACTTGGATTTTAAATGTGCATCTGAAGCCCGTTCTTCTTGGGGATGTTGTGTAGCCAGGAAACAACTGGCCACAACGTACACTTTGCAAACTGTTATTAGTTTGTTGCATCAGAAACAAGCAAAAATTGTGTGGCACCTTAAAAGTGTAATATATTATTCCAGCATAAATGTTCATGTTAGAGGTATTAAAAAGGGGAACTTTCTGGCATAAATGTTCTGCCTAGTGAGGAATCACTGCATTGCCTCTGAAAAAGTGGGCTCTTGTCTCTGAAAAACTTATGCCGAAATGAAATTCTGTTAGTCTTTAAGGAGCCACAGAACTCTTGTGTATTTTCACAGTGCGCCCTCCACCAGTTGAAAAAGGGCTGCCATGGAAGAGGGGAAAACGTTCCTTCCTGTTTGTTGCTGGGTTGCAGTCCAGACGGGCCTTCTCTTTCTGCTCTCTAAGTTTTCAATCTGGCTAGTGCTGTAGGTACTATTACTGCCAAAATTTCTTCGTCCTGGTGGTCAGCTGGAAACTGTGTTGAGTACAGAGCAGATGGGGAGGATTTACGACTCACGTTAGAGGGGCAAGACTAGGATGTGGGGGCAGTGGAGCGCAATAGTCGTGTGAATGGGGGGCAGGAAGGAGGGGGCAAGAGGCAGTACATGTCAGAGGGAGCAATCCTAAGGAAGTTTACTCAGAAGTAAGTTTGGCTGGATCCGGGCTGGCCTTCCCCTACCCCAAACCTATTTCGGTTGTGACTGCTGCCATTCTGACTGGGATTCATTGCCTCGGTGTCTGACAGACGCTCTTATTTTTAGGTTCAGGTTTCATTTTATTGCCTTTAGCCATAGGCCGTTACAATGACAGACACACTTATTTTTGGCACAATAAGTACACAGTTGTTACCCATGCATGGCATATGGTCCAGATGCAGTCTTGTGTAGACATTCCACTTTTCCCAGGACCCTGTGAATTGGTTTTGCACCTCGGAAAATATAATTCTTCCCCAGATGGTGGAGCCACAGTTATTGCAACTGGCATGAATGGTGGTAAAACCCAACTTCCTTCCCCCCATTCCTTTGTGATTTGGTGTAATTTTTCTAGTACTCGAGGCAGTGCAGCAAGATTCATGCAGACTTAGCAAGCGGCAGACATTAGCCAGCCTACTTTATCCCACTCCAAGGCTCTGCGATTTTGTCCTTTGGAATTGCAGACTGTCCAGCAGCCGATGAGCATGTTCCTTGGAAGACAATAACCAATTCAAAATGATGTATAATCAAAGGACAATAGTAAGCCTCAGGCATGGTATGTATGTCTTATTTAAGGCACGTTTTATTTCTCTGTTTTTAAGGTGGTTTCTATACCTTCTAACCTGGGCATATGGAATTCTGCACTCCCCATTACAGCTTCCCCTTTGATCCAGCTTTGGGAACCTCCGCTGCTTTCAGGAGTGGGAGCAATATCAGAACATTTAGGGAGAGAAGAGGACTCTGATGCCTCCCAAAGTTTATCAGCAGCCTCGCGGCAAACGGTGAAGGAAAACCCAGTGACACAGAAAGGCCCAGCAAACTTCCTGCCCCAGGCAGAACTGACTGCTCCTGGCCAGGAGAAAAAGGAGAAAGAGGTGAAGACACCCCTGAAGGTAACAAGAGCAGTAACTAAAGCCGGTGCTCCTGGAGATGGAGGAGTCAAGCCAGGCCGGAGGCCACAGATGGTCGCTGCTCAGCTCGGTGTCCTCCTTGGATGTTCTGTTGTCCTTGGCATGGTCCTGGCTATCAGTCTGCGCTGCATCCACTCCCAGTATTGTCACAAGCGAACGGAGGTGTCCTTTAGTGAGCCAGAGGACAATGTGATTGCCTTGAGAGAGAGTGGGGAGATGATGCATTTCAGAAAGATACGAGAAAACAGCTTTGTCCTGGTCCAGGCAGAGTACAACTGGATCAATCCATCCGGCAGTGGTAAAAAAGCTGCCATCTAGGTGTCTGCCCGCTCCACCTTTTCATATTCCTGACGAGCTGAGCCTTTGGTAAAAGTGAATAAAAATTAAGAAAACCAAATCTGGAGCAATCGCCTGGTGCCATCTAAGCAACTATAGTCAAAGTGAGGAGAGATTACGCATACTTTTATTATGATACAGATAACGTCTTAGCTAGATTGCAGATCATATGTAGAAGTTTTGAGTTTTGAGTTTCATTTAAATATGAACAGATGCTTTGTTTAAAGTCTTATACTTAATGCAATTAATATTGAATGCCTGCTCATTAAACTGGATTGTTGCATCCATTACGTTTCCTTTGTTGCCTTGAGGTACGGGCCAAAACAAACAGAAATCCTTCCCCGGCAATCCAGTGTCACCTGCTATTTAGTCTCTGTCAAAAGTTTCTGCTGCTCTTCTTCTTTCCAAGCCAACCGACGCCCTCGCCCCTCTTCTCACTTCAGAAGCGATGCTTCTGGGTTGCTGTGTGAGATTTCTCAAATCGGCAGCGTGTTTGCCACTTGAACTAACTCTCCTATTTAGAAAAACGAATCCGAGCAACACAACAGTTAAGAGAATTGATCTGTGGGAAGGCAAACGGCTGGGCTGGCGGTATTGTGAATTGATCTCCGGGAAGGGAACAAAGGCACAGCAAATGCCACCTTTGGGGAGAGGAACATGCCTCCTCATCAGGTGTAAATGGAGAGGAAGCTTCTCCCGGCCATTTGCACCTTGACAAGCTGGCTTGTTTAATCCTGACACTTGCTTTGTTTTCTGCTTCAGGTCAGTTCAGATGCAGGGACTGGAATAAAAGGTCTGCTGACAAGTAGAACCCTGAGGTCATCTCAGGGAAACCCTAACAAGGGCCCTATCAAAACGCCTGCAAGCCCTTTTTGCACTCCGAATGTCACAAGAAAACCACAACAACCCCTTTGTTCATACTCAGGTGGTGGGTGTGATAGCTGAAAGAAGTCCCTGGGAAAGTCTGACACTATTCGGAGACTTAGATCTGATGGAATGTTTCCCTTTCTGCTTGGAATTAACATAAATGGTATATATTACTTTTACTGCATAAAACGAAGCACTTTTCCATCGTAGAAGAGACCATGGAAATGTCATAGTGCACTTGGGACATGCTCTTCTCGCCCTGCAGATTGCGTGTATGCACAGCTGTGACTACAATGGATCACCCATACCTTATCCTTCATGCTAAAGGCCTGTCTGGAATTCCATGAGTTGTACAAATATAGCATGAGGATATAAAGCAAGTCATGGGCCAGGAGCCAAATGCACACTGACATCCCCCAGATTGATTGAACTTTTTAAAATTCAACATGTGTTTTAAGCGGTGCCCTTCAGGGATATCTGATAAAATACAACGACATTTGAAACTTTTTTAAAAAACCCACGTCAGTAGAAATTCCTGTTTAAGAATATACTTTGCCTATTGAAAGCCAACATGGTGCAGTGGTGAAGAGCAGCGGAGTCTAATCTGGAGCACCGGGTTTGATTCCCCACTCCTCCTCCACATGAAGCCTGCTGGGTGACCTTGGGCCAGTCACAGTTCTCTCAGAACTCTCTCAGCCCCACCTGCCTCACAAGGTACCTTTTGTGGGGAGAGGAAGGGAAGGAGATTGTAAGCTGCTTTGAGATTCATAAGAACATAAGAGACGCCAATGTTGGATCAGGCCAAAGGCCCATCCAGTCCAACACTCTGTGTCACACAGTGGCCAGAAATACCAGTGCCATCAGGAGGTCCACCAGTGGGGACAGGACATTAGAAGCCCTCCCACTGTTGACCCCCCCCCCAAGCACCAAGAAGAAAGAGCATCACTTGCCCCAGAGTTCCTATCTATACCTTGGGGCTAATAGCCACTGATGGACCTCTGCTCCATATGCTTATCTAATTCCCTCTTGAAGCCGTCCATGCTTGTAGCCGCCACCACTTCCTGTGGCAGTGAATTCCATGTGTGAATCACTCTTTGGGTGAAAAAGTACTTCCTTTTATCCGTTCTAACCCGACCGCTCAGCAATTTCATGGAGTGTCCACGAGTTCTTGTATTGTGAGAAAGGGAGAAAAGTACCTCTTTCTCTACCTGTTCTTTCACATGCATAATCTTGTAAACCCCCTCAATCATGTCACCCCTCAGTCGTCTTTTCTCCAAGCTAAAGTGCCCTAAGCGCCTTAACCAGGGGTCATTTCGTAGAAAAAGAGATGCAGGAGCTCAGTAGCATAATTCATTAGCATAGCTTATTTGCATATGACACACCCCCTGACATCACCAGAAGTGTGTCAGAAGGCAACACCCACCGCTCAGGCTCCACTGGACTGTTTTGGATTGCTAGCTATTGGGGGGGGGGACGTGCAGATCTGTCCTCGCAGAGGAGGGAGAGCTTGTACCTGAATAAAACTTGGTCTTAAAGGTGCCACTGGACTGTTTTGAGCCAGGGGGGCTGGGGGGAGCTCTGCAACTTACCTGACTGCTTCTTGCTCTGACTGAGGGCTGCTGGGAGCAGGGGGTGGGGCTTGTTGCATGTGCCCGCCCCCTGGGCTCTTTACTGCCGGAGCTCCGCTCCTGTGCGCTCCTGCAGGAAATGACCCCTGGCCTTAACCTTTCCTCATAGGGGAAGTGTTCCAACCCTTTTATCATTCGAGTTGCCCTTTTCTGCACTTTTTCCAAAGCTATAATATCCTTTTTAAGGTGTGGTGACCAGAACTGCACACAGTATTCCAAATGAGGTCTCACTATTGATTTATATAGGGGCATTATGATATTGGCTGATCTGTTTTCAATACCCTTCCTAATAATCCCCAGCATAGCATTGGCCTTCTTTGTTGCAGTCACACACTGTCTCGACATTTTCAGTGAGTTATCTACAACGACTCCAAGATCTCTCTCTTGATCAGTCTCTGCCAGTTCAGACCCCATCAATGTGTATTTATATTTCAGATTTTTGGCTCCAATGTGCATCACCTTGCACTTGGTCACACTGAACCCCATTTGCCATGTTGACTCCCAGCTGAGAAAAGCAAGGTATAAAAACCAACTCTCCTCCTCCTGTTCTTTCTACTGGAGAATTGTTTTAAAAGTGGATGCATAATAGACTCATCAGCCATTCCTGGTAATGGAAAAAGACAAATTTGCAATCTGTTTTCTGGAAGTCTTTCCAAGCAGACCTGCACAAGTTTGTCTAAGCTCTCTCCTCTCGTTTTGATCTGCTAATGACCTTGACCCTCATCCTTCTTTCTCAAGGTGCTGAAGTAGAACAAAACTGACACACTTGTTGGAGAAACTCCGGATCCAGTTGTCTGAGCTGTCCCTAGAAATATCTAGGTCAGGTCAGATGTAATTGAAGTGTACATTTTTCTCGCTGATCATCAGTGTTGACCGGAATTTGCTATGCCTTATGCTAATCTAAAATTTTGGTCTTGAATTCCATGACATGCATGACAAGTACCGCAGACATTAATTCGGATTTGGATTCCCCAAAAGGAAACAATCACTTCTGTTCCTTTGCAAAAAAACATTTTCTGTATGCCAGTATTCAGCAGAATGAAGAATCCGCTAGAGTATGATTATTAAATCATATTCCAGCAGATTCTGCATTAAATACAGGAGCGTAGTTTTCTTATATTATGCTCCCAGCAAAAACTCTAGGCATAGTGACGATTTCAGCTTAAACATGGCAATAAACAAGTTCACCAACAAAATCTGATGAAGTGCAATAAACTAATAATTCCGTTTGATCAGAAGCAAATGGTTACAAAGTCTTTCACTGTAAAATCATGCAGGTCATGAATGGAACCCTTCTACAAGCAACAAATGTGCCCCAGAAGTCAATAAAAATTGTTACAAAAACCAAAAGGATTGCAAAATGAATGCTTTTCTTATGTTCATTATGCTCATTTAGCAGAACTCTTTGAATGTGTCTATTGATTACCTGGGAAAAAAATGACACATTTCTGCAATATCTCTCCCATAGTTTTCGTTGGGGGACATTTTAAGTGGAATTCTCCATCCGTGGCTTCACTGAACAAAACAAAAACTTTGACTAACTCATAATAGTTGGGTGCTTATTTTTAAAAGCTGCCTATATTCAATACATTGTTAATGCAATCCCTAATTAACTGAGAAAATAGGTCAACAAGCTGCTAAATATTTAAACCACTATCACATTTCATTTAAAAAGTTTGCTATGATGGCTTAGCAGTTTATGAATAAATTACAAATTCTCATGTCCTCCTGCACTATTTCTCTGTCTGTCTGTTTAATAAAAGTGGATTATTACAGTTTGGGATGCGGGGTGATTCCCCCCCCCCTTTCTGGTTTATTCCCATCTTGAGTGCAGAAGGTGAAACGTGCTAACCAACGTTTGGGAAAATCTGGACTGAGCTGATTTGTATCTAGCTAAATGCAGCTCATTGGGGGCCTCTCTGAATTAATCTGGGGACAGTCAAGCTTAGTCAAGAGGGGGGGCAAGGTGGCAAAGAAGGTCTGAGGAAGTGGACAGTATTATTTCCAAATTTTGCACTTTGAGCACGATATCCCACCCCACAGTGTCCTCTTTTCTTAATCTGCGAACTAAACACAAGTGGTTCAAAAGAGAGAGAGCCCCAGGGTGTTGCAGTTAGTGGTCAGAAGGTTGGATTTGGATCAAAAAGACCTGGTTTTGGATCCCTGATTTGGTCAAGTTCACTGATTCCTCTTCTTCTGCTTCTTGTACATCATGCTACTGTTCTGAAGGGGGAAATGGGAGAGCTCCACTCAAGTATGCCACCTCGAGATCCTTAATGGGAGACAAAGTAAGTTGAATGAAGTTTGAAGGGTTGGGTCTGAAGTCCCCAGTTCACCCACAAACTCAGTGGATGAGGGTGACGTACCACTCCATCTCATCCTGGGCTCCCCTCCCCCACTAGAGAGAGGATAAAAGTTGATCTCTCTCATAGAATTTTGAGAATGAAGACAGACTGGGAAATGTTTTTGTACAATGCAGATCTGCAG